ATCAGGTTGATACAGACTAAAGCTTACAGATCCAACGCTGTAATTTTAGCCAAAAAGGTGGCGTCTTCTAAAGTTTGACTCGAAGGGGGGCGAATACAAGCAACTGTTCTGAGTTTGTACTCAAATTAGATCCATCTGTAGAGATTTGTTGATAGTGTGTCTTCCTGATAAGCAGCAAATCACCTAATTAATCCAGAATCATAGCAGTAAAATGACATAAAGTAAAAACACAGTAAATGTACCAGGATTAAAAGAATAATCTATATATTAATTTCCCTCTCCCACATTTGAAGAGTCACGTGTAATTTAGATTTTTTTTTCCAGCTAATCTTTGAACACTAAAACAAGCCGCAGAGGCAGAACAACACATGTGAACATGGCTGGTTTGGACGTGGCCTAGGTTTGTAAGTCTTGTGTTTACTCCATGTGCTCCTGCAATGAGGATGTCATTCCAGCCTGCACTTCCTGTTCAATTCCCGACACACCCCCAAACAGACCTGACAGCCAATCACAGAAGATAATACCACCCTATATATACACACACACACACACACACACACACACACACAAAACCTCCTCCCTCTCCGCCCTTTGATTGACACACAAACACAGACACACAAAGTCAATGCTTTTCTGTTTGTTAAGATAACTTCTGTCTTAAAAGAACTTTAAATTTAAGCCAAAATATTTACAGTGGTGAAAGAAAAAACAAAAATAAAGATAAAACCATATTTTTAAAAACACAAGGTGGTTCCCCTTGATACAAAAAAAAAAAAAAAAAAACCTTTATGTTTCAGCACAAACCAAACACACCTCTTCCTTAAAAACTGGTGAGCTGAGCAGTCAGGGGTGCGTTTGTTTACATTAGTGTTTACGTGACGGAGACATGTTGACTAACAGTCTCAGCTAATAACATTATCGCCCTGAAAACTGTTGATACACGAGTTTTTAAACCAACAACACAAACAAACAAACAAACAAAATATATATATTTGCAGTTGTTATATTTTTATATTTTATGTGACAACACGGCTTTAAGCTTGTCGGTAGTTTAACGCTTTATAAAGGCACTCTGGGGCCTTAAGACAAATACATTTATTAAATAATAAAAGTGTAATATCACAGCTAATGTGGAGCCACGTTGGGTTTTTATGTTACAGCTTCACTGTTTACAGATATCAGAACAAATCAAACCGCTCGGACAGGACAAACTTTGTACCCCCACTCAGATTATGACTTCCCTTTGGCCTTTTAAGTGTGAATGTACACAAAACCTAGTTTATTCCCCCCCCACCCCGAAAAAAAACTATTAACTTTAGAAACGTTTGATTCAACAGTTTCCAAACGAGGAGCGAGAAATAAAACCATTAAACACACACACACAAAAAAAATCGATTCTAACATCAGCTGCAAGGATGTTTTAAAAAAAAAAAAAGAGCTTAAAACGGGATTTTAAAAATAAACAAATTTGTCTTTCTTTCTTTTCTTTTCCTTTCTCTTTTTTTTTTTTAGCAGGCAGGCCAAAGCCAACCCGTGTTACCATAGTAGGCATGCGGGTAACGTTAGGCAGCTGTGCCTAACACTCCCACCGCTCCCGGGGGGCAGCCGGCCAGCGGCGAAGCCCCGCCTCGCGCTGGAACACCCCGTCCACCGAACACCCCGTTATCTTCCCCCCAAGCACCGGAGGGAGAAACGCGGCCGCCTCGTCCGTACGTAGCTGGCAGTGTCGCCGCGAAATGAAGGCTCCGAGTGACGCCATGTGATATCCCGGAGCAAATGGACCGAGTTCGCGGCCTATGGTGACCGTCCCTCTGGCGCATGAACATAGCTCAAAGTCCCCGGCCTCCAGTCCGGGCAGGGCCTGTGGAGAGACAGGCGAGGCGGGACGGGAAGGAGCCGGACGTCGCCGCGCTTCCATCCATCCGCGGGCCGAGGAGGGCGACCGACTGCGGTGGTAGTGCGAAGGTCACACGCGCGGACCCGAACGGTCTGCACGGTGCCGACTGAGAGCCAAGGCAGGGGCCTCCTAGCTGCCGGTGTCGTCCCGGTAGTCTGCCCATCTTCCTTTTCCGGAGGGTCAAGCAAACACACACCTCACCCTCCCTCCACACACACACACACACACTTTAGTTCTCGCACACACAAGAGTTGCAACGTGAGAGTTTTCGGCCAGGGCACTTGTTCGCTCTCCGTGGCTGTCGGAACAACATGGAGTCCGGGCGCGGCGGAAGACCCGGACCGGATTCTGAGGCAGGAACGTGGACTCGTGCTGCGTTCAGGGCCTCCTTGTAAATCAGGAGCAGGATCAGAATCAGAATCGGGATTTTCTTTGATTGTATTGGTTTTTTTTTTGTTACGCACGAGGAATGTGACCTGGTGCAATTGGTGCTTAAAATATACAAATACAAATATACAATTGTTTTCAAATCACACAAAAAAAAAATCACGCAGAAAAATAAAGTACTTTTGGTTTGAATCAGAATCAGAAATACTTTAATGATTTAATAAATTACTTTCGTTACAATCTCCAGATATACATACAGTTTAATAATGTGAATGAGAGGGTTACTTTAAAAATGTAATTTGATACCATTACTGATTACCTGTTTAATAAAAAGATTACTTTCCGTTACTTTTGGATTACTTTAGGAACTAAAATAAAATAAACACATGAGTAAAGAATCAGATACATACATAGGGCGGCAGTAGCTCTGTGTGTAGGGCAATATTGTACCTTGTTACTTAAATTATTTGACAAAAGAGTTCATAATTACTTTACAAATCAATATTTTTGCGTACAAAACTGTCAAAGACCTAAATAAAATATATTTTGTTATAAAAAATCCAAAAGTACAAGTGCTGTTAAAACAATCAATCAATTATTGAAAGAGTCCACTGACTGTTTGAATATTTTCTCCTTGCTATATTGTTTGCATTTAGAATAAGAGGAGCGTTTAATTTTTTTTCATCATGACTGATTTGTGGACAGCAGGTTCAGAAATATTTATTCAGCATGTCTGTTGAGATTCTTCAAACCTTTTCCAGTATCTTTGAATGTTAACATGTTAACAAGACCTGTTTTATTCCAAATGTACTGTGAAATAATGCAATGGAAGTTTATTTTAAAACAAACAAAAATCACAGAAAGAAAAGAGGAATCCATATAAAATTAAATTAAATTAGACAAAAATAAGAGAAAAGATGAATAGTACAGTTACAGTGCAGTAATAATTTGCCTAAACTTTAATAAGTATGTATAAGTCTATAAGAGAAAGTGTGTTTAATGGTGTACAGATCAGCACGTTACGTTGCAGTTGCAGAGAAAGTCCTTGTCGAGCAATGGCAGCTCAAAAAATCTGCAATACTTTCACTATTAGCAGAAATAGAAACCTAACATAGCAAAAAAAAAAAAAGTCTGCAACATTTTTTGTTACCAGCATGGCTGCAGGTTCTCTGTCCCTGAACGCCACATCTGTGCACCTCGGTCTATAGGCTGCAGCTCATCGCGTCACACCAGGAAACGAGGCTGAGTCCAGTAGTATCTCGAGATTTGTGCTGTCGTATTATTCAGAGCTGATCATTTATCACAGTCTTTCACTTTCATGTCTTTTAATTTATTGTTTTTTCATGTGAATTAAATAATAAAATAAATAAATTTCACAAATAACAGCCACTGAAATCACATCCATTGGGGAATGTTTATTATGTTTGTGTAATACATGTGTTATACTATAATATGTATTTATTCTGTGAGCTACAGGTTGTGCATCTGTTCGTGATAAGTGGAAATGCTGCAGTAGATTGAGGTTTGGGTCGTAATATGACAGATTTCAGCTGTAGCCTGCTGCACATTTCCTCTCAATCCTCCCAGAGAACATGTGGTGTCTGCAGTGTAGCTGGTTTGGCCACCTTATTTTTTGTTGTTTTTTTTTTTTCTCTTTCCTTTTTTTATCTCTACCCTCTGTTTATAAACATGGAAAGAACAAGATGGTTAAAAAAGTCGGATAGTGGATCTGCGAAGGAGCGGGAGCACTTAAACAATAACCGAACAAAACACGAAACACACACCGTCCACAGGAGGGCGCTGTTGGGACGTAAAACATTCAGAGAGATAGAAAGGAAAACAAACACAATCACAGTTTTAGCCTCTTAATGCACTTTATTATTGAAAAATCTGCTCAAAATATCAGAAATATAATTCAGTCCTGGAAAGTAACTAAGTACATTTACTCAACTACTGTACTTTAGTACACATTGTTTATTCTTGTGCCATTTTATACTTCTACTCCACTACAATGGGGCAATATTGTACTTTTTACTTTAATTATTTGACAAAAGAGTTACTAATTACTTTACAAATCAATGTTTTTGCATACAAAACTGTCAAAGATCAAATATATTTAGTTATAAATTAAACTATATAAGTGCCGTTAAAACAATCAATGAATTAATGAAACAGTCCATTGACAGAAAATGAATTGGCTTTTTTAATAATTGTTTCAGTCATTTTTTATGTAAAAAAAAAACTTTTTTTTATTGCTTTTATTTTTAATAATTAAAATTTTCTTTTAGTAATTTTGAGCTTTGGACAATTGGTTGGCCAAAACAAGCGTTGTGAATGTGTCACTTTGTGTTCTGGGTAATTGTGGCAGCAGTCTATTGATGCACATTAATAATGGAAATGTATATATATATGTATGGGTCAATTAATGGAAAATACGTATCAGATTAATCCATAATGAAAATAATCAATAATTTTAGGAGCTTTTTATTTGTTGTTAGTATTTAGTTGTTTTATTAATAGTAAGTATTATTGTTTAGTCTACATGTTTGCTTTATTTATATTCAGTTTTGTTTTGCGAGTTTTTTGTTTAGTTTTATTATTATTATTTTGTTTACTATATTTAGTTTAGTTTATTTTGTTTTTGTTTCATTTGGGTAACACTGTGCACCTAAAGTTATAAGTAGGAAGGCAAGCATAGGACCAGCATGCACCTGGGTGGGCTGATATTTTTTTAATAGAGCAGGAAAGGATACAGAAACCATGATTTTGTGTTTGAAAAAATATAAATCTTACAAAACACATATTTTGAATGGACAATGGACTTATTTTCCCCCTGCAAACAACACAGCACTAATATATAATATTATAACAGTCAGTATACAGTAGTAAAAGTTAAAGTATACATAACAGAATGTTTTATAGTGTGATATTAATGATTAAAAACTTAAAAAAGGATCTGAATATTACCTCTATTACTGACTTTTTTTATTTCAGTTAATATTTTACACGGGGTGGAAAGAAAAACACGAGCACCTGCAAAAGATAATGAAAGCCTGTGCAATCAGCCTGCAACAAATAACAGTACTTCCTTTGGTAAAGCTTTTAAAATTGAAGAAGTGTTGATTTAACTATATGGTTAAACACTGAGACAATAGCGAGTGGTTCTCTTGTGTGACATTAATAGCAAGTATACTGCAAGATGTTTTTTGTTATTTTGTCCACCAGACCTCAGCCCATACTTCATGTTGTAAATATTTGACTTGCTTGGAAAGAAATGTCCCTCTTATTTTTTAAAACTTCTAAGTAAGTATGAAAAATGTATCTGTCATGCTGCTATTGTACAGTCACATTTTAATCATTTATAGCACATGCAAGTTGCTATAACACTGATCAAATCACATGTAAGAATGACAGTATGCATAAGAAATTGTTATTGTTAACACAGCGTTAAAAATGATCCGTTTGTCACTCAGATTAGGATAAGTGTTGATAAAAGCTTTGACAGCAGCAAAAAAACAGTATCAGCTAATGTGCATACAACAAATGGACATGGTGTTACTTCAACATAGTTAAAATAATTATCCTTTATCTTCTTGTTTTTTAGCTTGAAGGTTCAGACCTTGGCTCCAGCTTCAGTTTGATTGGTCGTTTTGGCATCAGCAGGCCCTGGATGTCCATCTCAAAGGGCACCTGGCAGGAAATTGCCAGTGAAGAGAAAAGAAGCGTGAACAAAATCAACAATGCATAAAACTCAGCTTTGTTATTTCAAATCTACAGCTGGCAGTATCACAGAGGGCAGAAACTTTACGCAAAGAACGGATAGCTTATTGAATGCGCTATTATACATTTTAGCAGTATCAATTATATTCTTGTTCAAAGTCTCAGCTAGTAGCTTTTGATCTTTGACCAGATATATCTTTATAGCACTGCTGATTGGCAATCTTTGGCATTATATAACCCCTCAATATCAAACTGGAAATGAATAACATTTGGACAGAATTACTCTTATGCAATAAAAAAAGCAATAATAACCAGTGTAAATATGAACATCTGGGGTCTCACCTCAGTCTCCTTACACACAGAGAAGCTGTAACTCTGGAGGATCTCCACTATTGCTAGTTTCATCATCACCAGAGCAAATCGCATCCCTATGCAGTTCCTTGGTCCTGCCCCGAAAGGCATGTATGTGTACGGATCAATAGTCTCCTTGTTCTCCTTGCTGAACCTGAGTGCGCACACAAACACATAATAATTTATTAATAAAAGAAATTAGAGTTAATAACCTTCACAACCTGTTTTGGTGAACCTAAATATATAAATCCTTTCTATACCTCTCGGGTTTGAACTCCTCCGGCTCGGGCCACAGATCGGGGTCCCGGTGCAGGGGCCACGTGGGTACCATGATAACCATATCTTTTGGAATCACAATGCCATTTATCTCAACAGTTGCCTTGGCCACACGCTCCAGACGTGGAGCAATGGGGTACAGTCGGAGAGACTCGTTGATGACGCTGTCTAGATACTCCATCTGCATCAGAGCTTGGTACTCAATCGGAGCCTACATAAAAAAAAGACAAACATATACACGACTTGCTTTGAATTCTCACTCATGCCACTCAGGAGAAGACCTCCACTCTGTTTTACTACACAAGGCTAGGAGCTACAACAAGTGCTGAAGGGATACAGTGAAGATTGATGGATTTTTTATCATTGATTTTAGGAAATAAACGTATTTGCTTTCTTTCTTTCTAGGGTTAGATCCATTGAGTATATATATAAGGGAAAGAGTTTTCACGTCTGTAAAGTGAATCCAATGTGGAAGTGTGTTAAAACCTGTGTTCTATGTAAAGGCCAGCAGGGGGAGCTCCATTGGCTGCACACTGATACCGTTCACTCTAATGGTGAATGAGTGGACTTCTCACTTCATTTATGAGCTCAGGAAACAGTTTCCTAACTAGTTTATGGCCTTAATCACTAGTTTCACGTCTTCTTCTGGACTATATGATGTTTATTTCGTAAATTATAGTCCAATTTAGAGTAAAACAGACGATAAAGCAGAGTATGCTTTTGGATGGGGCTACCTTATGATTGACAGTGAGTCTGTCTAGCGCAGCACACGAAACTCAGATCAAACTGTCAAACTAGGCAGTGATGATCAAATACGAGGCAAGATTCCGTTACTGCGTTGTCTATTTCTCACCTAAAATCGTTTCAGAAACATATTTTAGTGTACTGTTTTAGCGGTAATACGACAGGTGTGTAACCAGGTGAGCCGCTATTGTTTATACAGACAAGTCAAAACTGCGCAGCCAACGTGAGCAGCTCAACACGCAGTACGTCACGTCAGCTGGCTCGCACTGGGTCCGTCTAACTCATAAAGACAGCCAAAACACTGAACTCGAGGCTTCAAAACGGTACTCCACAAACAGATGGGTGACGTCACGATAGGTTCACACTTGGTTAGATCAGAAGATTGATACCACTCTCTTTACCACTCGTTTATCTGGTAAATATAAGGCTACAATCAGCAGGTGCTTAGCTTAGCTTTGCATAAAGACTGGAACCACAGGGGAAACAGTTAGCTTGACTCTGCCCAAGGTAACAAAATCTTCCTGAAAGTTCCTTTAATGTTTACTAATTAGCACATTATATCTTGTTTGTTTAATCCATACCAATTTTTTTGTTTTGTACAGATGTGTAAATAAGCATGTTATTATTATTGTTATCATTTTATAAGGTGATAATATATCAGATATATGGGATTTGTCAATTTGATGTGGAGTTTCTCTGCCCCAAAGTGGCCAAAATTCAACGAAAGCAGCTTAAAATTAGTTCTTTTGAGACCTTCCTGCTATCTCAAACATTGTCCTCTGTCCACTCTCGAGGTACCTTGTTAGGGAACGTGGAGTCGATCTCCTGCTGCAGCCGTTTCATCACATCAGGGTTTGTCGCCAGATTGTAAGCCAAGAAAGTGAGAGAGCTGCTACTTGTTTCGTAGCCAGCAAAGATGAAAATCATTGCTTGAGAAAGGATCTCATGATCGCTTAAACCTGGGGAGATAGCAAGATATAGAGAGATATGATTTAGAATAGCATATATAGATTATATTTAGTTGTGCTTTGGCGTGTGGTAGATATTTATGTGACTGTGTATTTGTGTCACCTTTATCCTGTTCTACTCCACTGAGGTCATTGTTTTTCTGGGAATCAATCATCAGCTGAAGGAAATCCACGCGACTCTAAAAGGAGACATACTGTATGAGAATAGCTTTAATTATATTTCTGAATCCGCCGATACACGTACACGCATACATACGCATGCACAAACAGTCAAACCTTTTGCTTGCTGGTCTCTCGGTTAGATTTGATCTTCTGCAGTGCAGCGTAAAAGAAGTCTGTGACATACGAAGGGAAAAAGGAAAACTCCATCTTCTCAAAAACAGGACCCATAAAGGGGAAGAAAGCTGGAATTAAGCAGAAAGCAACACATTTATCAAGATGCAGGAAAGACAGTGACTGCATCGACTGTTAACATTCACAATACGTTATCCAGCACCGATATTTTTGGGTTTGCCAGCCAGGTGAAAGACATAATTACAAAAAGCTGCATTTTACAGAAATAAAATGAATTATGTACCAACAATGAGGAAGAGAGGGCTGAAAAGGTCAAACTTCAGCATCTTCTTGATGTTGGTGACAAAGGGATCTGAGGGGTTGTTGAGAGAGTCTAGGTCTACACTAAAGGCTGTGCTGGTTACAACATCCATACTGTAGGGTCCAAAGAACCTAAAGAACACACAAGCACATCAGAGATGCAGCCTAACAGAGAGCTGTCTTTATGCATTTTCTGGGAAACTTTAAATGAATGGAATATATCGGAGTATAAAGTGTTCTTACTCCTTCAGCTCTAAGGGCTCATCCTTGTCTGCCTTCTTTTTCATGCTGCTGATCAAGTTAGCAGAGTGCTGTTTCATTATGCCAAACATCTGAAACAGAAATAGGAACAGATTAACAGTTACGCACAGGCTTACTGCAATACTGGAAAATACAATACACAATACATGTGTCAAGATCAGTAGTTCCCCACCCAGGGGTCGAGACCCAAAGTTCCAGGATAAGTCTGAAGGGTCACAAGATGATAAAGCAGATAAAGGAAGACAAATAAAATGACATAATCATGTTTCTTTTTCTGACTTTCTTTTAATATTTACTTGCATGTCCACACAGACCATAACCTGTGATGGGGGCTCAATAGCATTTCAAGGGCTCATGACCCTAAAAAGGTTGGAAATCACTGCTCTAGAGAGAATTTAGTCAAGTTACAACACGGACCGTCACTAAAAAATATTCAGTTTAACATGCATTCAGGAGGTACAGAGCAGGAGAGGGCTGTACCTCTTTCAGTCTTCCTGAGGTGAAGGAGGGAGAGAGAACACTGCGGATCCTCCTCCACTGGTCATCCTCAGCAATGGACACGGCATCATACAGTGGTCCGTTCAGACGGAAGTTCTGAAACAGATTTAGGAAACATCGGCCAATGATGAGGAGAGGTCAACTAAAATGCAGCATCCATAATACGTGAGTGAATGTGCTATATGGTAAGAGTGCATACTCTGCGATTGGTGAAGAGGGAGTAACACTCCTTTATCAGAACAGTTTTTATCATGGAAACATCTGTGATACACAGCACAGGCTGACGGCCATCATAAATGCTAAATATGAGAAGAAAATAATTGAATATGAATAGAAAAATAATAAAACACCAAATGAAATGTTCATGCATACATATACAAATCTACCGTTGTAAAACAAATATACAACACTGTAAATACAGATGTTTTATGTGGACAGACAAGCTCACTCTAAGGACAACAAATATACATTGTATTGTATGTTTTTTCTTTGATTTTTCTTTTTTATGCAATAAAAATCTCAGATTTAATCTAATAATAAAGGATCATCATCATTATCATCATCATGATCATCATCATCATCATCACATACTGTACAATATGCAGACTTACCCCCATGTTTTCCCATATTTCTGAAAGCACTCAAAGTCAAAGTTCATGAATCCCTACAGACAAGAATAATAATGTACAGATTATGAATTGAACTCCTTAATTCAGTCCACTTAAATATGATGGGGATATTTCTGGCACCAACAATTATAAAATGTTTAGATCATGAACAATAACAATGTTAAATTCTGAAAGATATGTGGACTACAACTGCAGTCGGTACATGGTTAGTTAACATCTTTTCTTCTATTATATAACAAAAAAACATAACACTACACAGATCATAATTATTGTTTTGAGATCACCTTTCAACTTTCACAGTCAAAATGTAATAACACAACTGAGATACTTCTGCTTTCATACAAAGGCTATTAGTTCCCCATTTCCTAGGAAGTTAAATCCTGGGAAATTCATTCACTGGGAACCTTTTTTGTTTTGAAAACTATCCTTAGCAATGTCAGTGGATACATATGACATTTCAAAAGTATTTTGTCACAGTAAAAAGCTGTAAAACAGTGTGACACATTATGCACTGTTTGTTCAGAGACCTAAACTCTACAACTACATCTCCCAAAACCCAATGTAAGACTACTGGGGCCTTCAATTTTTGTCAGCAAACATAGTTTACATATCAACAGAAAAGAATAGTTTTGCTCAATATTATGTCTCAATAAAAAGATATATTTAAAATTCTACAAAGAACACTACACATAGAGCAGACACAGTAATGTAACTAACACACTTTTATAGATTATTACCAACCTTTCTATATGCCAACATAGTGCCAAAAAAGGGGATCGGTTTAGGACCAGGGATTCCCATTTTCTTAAATGTTCCATATGGCCAGTAGACATACCTGTGCAAAACAAATAAACAGAGGTAGAAGAGACAATATTTGTATCATGCACACAGTTACAACACAGAACAAATACCTGAGACACATATTCTTAAACACTTACACAAAGAACAGTGTGATGAGAGCAACCAAGAGGGTCCATGTCTCGGCAGAAAAATATAAGAAGTAGCCCATCTCTGCACGTTTATTCTCTTCTAACAACGGCAGCACAAATGTCACTAAAGTCCCAAATCACAGCCAGAGGCTTTTATCTCCTGCTTTACAGACCTGTTGCGTGAGTAGGGGAAGTGTGTGAGAGTTGAACCAATGGCAGTCCAGCACTATAAGGTGACTCATTGACAGCATTTACATTTATCATACTTTATTAGCTCTGCCATCTGTGACGCTTTAAAAAAACAGCTTTAACATACTGTAATAAATAGAATAAAAAGTATAAACAAATATTTTCTAAATGTCTGTAGGGACATATACTCAGGTGTGTGGTTGTTAAATTGTTTGTTTTTACATATTTTTCCCTCTCTGTGCTCACACAAAGTAAGATTATTATAGTTAACTAACACTAAAACTAGGTGTGAAAAATGTTTTTAGTTAACTGAAATAAAACTAAAACTTTAAACTAAATATGATAAGAAATTTCTTTATTTGCAGTCTTTGTCCACTTTTTATTTAGAGAAAAAAAATGCCCCCCTCCAAATAATAAAATTAAAAATTAAAAATTAATGAAACAATACTCTTGGATGAGTGGGTTGCGGAAACTTGTGAACTTTTGTTTTTGTCCTTCAGGCTTCTGTGTTGCCGCACAGGAAGAAGGGAGGGGCCAAAGTTCTTGTGTAACACAGCACTCCCGTCCTAAAAAGCTGTCAGAGTTCACTGCAAAACTGAGATTACCACAAGTTGCGCGAGCAAGAGAGAGCCATGGGCTACCTTCCTTTCTTCTCTCTAGAAACATGGATTCTACTGATCACATTTATCTGCATATTTGTTCTGTAAGAGTCAGAGATTCTAAGTTTGGTCTTTTCCTTTTGCGTTAACAGTAAACAGTGTTCATTGACACTATTTAAAGGTGTGGTTTTATGTTCTGCACAGGTATGGCAACTGGACTTACAGGACATTTGAGAAGTTGGGGATCCCTGGTCCCAAGCCAGTGATGTACTGGGGCACACTTAGCAGGCAAAACCCTGTTTGTAATTTTAATATTTTTGTCACTTGAATGTAAAATTACAGACTGTGTTGGATCGTAATTTTATAATTAGTGATGAAAATGTTTTCTCTCTTACAAGGTTTACTACTTAGCTGACAACGAGTGTGCTCAAAAGTATGGGAGGATATGGGGGTGAGTCTACAAAACTTGTTGAAAGTGTAAATGTACCGTAAGAACACCAAGCAATTATTTTATGTTTTGTGAAACTGTGTGTTTGACAGGCTTTGACCCTTGAATCTCTCATGTTTGTGTCTGCACTAGTGTTAATAATGACTCTATATATAACATATGTAAGAGTTTTACACTACATAGCCAAAATGTAAAAGTGTGTTTGTGTAAATGTCCAGCATGTATGAGTTCAAGCTGCCCGTGCTGGTTGTGATGGACCCTGAAATGTTAAAAACCATCCTGGTCAAGGAGTGCTTCACCTACTTTACCAACCGGAGGGTGAGAACGTGCACGATTAACACTGAATAGAACAAAGGACAGGAGAGTGTAGTACAAAACACACTGTAAAGTCACACGAGATCCTTCGTTCATTGATTAAAGCAAACTGATGTTAAATGTTCTCAAATGGCACTTGTTAGAATATGTTTTTAAATGGGAAGTCAAGAATTGGCCGATCATTGCTTTTAAGTAAGAGGCAGTAAAAATAAATATCACCTATTTTCCTTTTTAAAACTGGTGAATGATCATGCATCATGGTAAGAAGAAACCTAGAAGATGAGTTAATAAAAAATAAAAAATAGCAATTTTCATGACCTACATTTTAAAATAGAAATACATCGCAATTTGTGAACTCTGATCTCAGAGTTCAGTTTCTAATTTACGAATTAAGATTACCACAATAGTGTTCAAATTACATCTTTTCATGAACATGGTAAATATGACGTGCAAAGATAGAATCTAAAGAAAGTCCATTAATGTAACGTATAATTCCCCTCAAATGCATTAAACCTAAAGTATCAAGCCTATTTTGTAAATATAAAGAGTAGAAAGTACAGATATTTGTGTAAAAATGTAAGGAGTAAAAGTAAAAAGTTTTCAGAAAAATAAATATTTAAGTACTTAAAAAATAAAATATAGAAAGTTTGGCCTAAGGCAAATCAAATGAGATTGTCTTCCAACATGCATACTAGCCTACTGACCTTGGTATTTATTATTTTTTCTTACTGGTGTTATTCTATATTTTGCTTATGGTCAACAATCAATCAATATTATCAGACTTCTGTGGTATTCAGAAACAATAAAAAGATCTTTATCTGCATGCATCAGGCAGTTTGTTCACTGATTAATGTAATGTAATGTCCATGGTACACTATTAACAGCTGTCTTCACATATACGTACAACAGTAAACCCACTCATGCACAAACACCAGTGTGCTGACCACTGTGTCCTTTCAGAACCTACGTCTGAATGGGGACCTCTATGACGCCGTGTCTATTGCTGAGGATGATCAATGGAGACGGATTCGTAACATCCTCTCTCCTTCCTTCACCTCCGGCCGTATAAAAGAAGTAAACTGTCAATTTTACTTATTTCTTCAATTCATATTTGGATAGTTTTTAAGAAATATGGTCATCTTCACACATCTTGCACTTTTTCCTTTGTCTAAGATGTTTACCATCATGAAACATCATTCCCACAAACTGACAACCTGCCTGCAGTCCAAAGTGCGCAATGGTGAAGTCGTTGATATAAAAGAGTGAGTATTAACATTTAGCTATAGTTAATTTAATTGCCATCTCTCTCGGTAAACATGATCATATGCACTCAATAACATCACCGTGAAAGCATTTTTAAATCCAGCTAACTATCCTTTGCCGTGGCCCTAACTGAGGACCATGATGAGATATACCTGTGGAACTGATTTCAACCACTGATCAATGATTCATATATTGTGTATTCCAGCTTCTTCGGACCCTACAGTATGGATGTGATGGCTAGCTGTGCATTCAGTGTGGATATGGACACAATCAGCAACCCCTCATGTCCCCTCATAACCCACGCCTCCAAGCTGTTCAGATTCTCCATACCTCTTTTTATTTTCCAAGGTACATCACCACTTTTCCACCATCTTTTTTATTTATATGGTTGTAAACAGCTGTGAAATTATCATTATTAACCCCCTTTGCCTTCTCAGGGTTTTTTCCCTTATTTCTTCCTCTCTTGGAGCTGTTGGGTGTCTCATTCTTCCCTACGACTTCTATTGCTTTCTTTAAAACGGTTGTGGAGAAGATGAGAGCAGGACGAAATGGGAGCTCACGGCAGGTCTGGACAAAACACACAACTAAGATTAAGCAGTACGGATAAAATCTTCTATGGCAGTATGTCTACTCTTAGCCTCTTTGTCAAGTCAAAGACAAGTTCAAGACCAGGACTAGTCAAACTGAGTCACTACAGAGTGTAAATAAGTTTGAGTCCAAGTAAAGACTGATCCAAATGAGAGAGACAGAGTAAAGAGCGAGACAGAGAAAAAATAATGCTTTTGCCGTTGCCAATGACATGAGGTTTGTTACATTGTCATGAGAAGTTGACTTTATTTGCTAATAGATCATGTGATATGATCGAAAGCTCCAGGTACTAAATCTAAAAGTGTTTTGTCAACTGCTATTTTAAAGGTCACTTGAAGGTAACTTTAAAACACAACAATTATGGACTGAAAATAACAAGATGCCCATGCCGGCCGTGCTTGCAATTTCTTTTTTATTGACACTATCTCGAGATAGCAGCAATTTTCACGTAAACAAATGTTGTTAAAAGTTGATAAATTATCTAATTTGTCAAGACAACGAGATTAATTAACCTGGTGTCACGAAAAAAAAACAAGCTGTTATTTCGAGATAATGAAATAATGAATTTGTGATCTCGAGATAACGACATCAAAAGTCATACCCGTTCTCGGCTTCCGTATACTTCATTGCATTTACAGTAAACACAAAAATCCTGTGAATCACAATGATTCAAAAATCCAATGCTCATACTGTTTTTTCAGAATTCAGGAGATATTCTTCAACATATGATCAACTCTCAGACTACCAATGAACCCAAGAACAAAAAGCAGAATAAAGGTAATCACACAGTGACATCACAGACATACAAACATACACTCTCACATGTATTCACACCAAGGGTTTTAACGCCTCCTTTCATTCTCCTTCATGCATCCTGCATGTCCTAACAGGTCTTACTGATCATGAGATTGTCTCTCAGATTACAATGCTTGCGTTTGCTGGTTATGAGACGAGTGCCCTCACTCTAGTTTTCTTGGCCTACAATTTGGCAAGAAATCCTGAAGTCATGAAACGCCTTCAAGAGGAGATAGACTCCACTTTCCCTAATAAGGTAGAGCAAACGTTTCTGGTACAGGAGTCATTCTCTCCATTTTATTCAATCGATGATAACGCAGTTTTCAAAATGTGAAAGTGTGTTTAATTAAACTGTGATTTGTTACAACTCTATAGGGTCCGATCGAATATGAAGCTCTCATGCAGATGGAGTACCTAGACGGTGTTGTGTGTGAGTGTCTGAGGTAATGAGCATTTCCTTGTGCTACACTAAATCAAATGTCTGTATAATGTAAAAAAAAAGTGATTCATAGTACCAAACTGCTACTACTGATAAGTAGCACCAATCGATGCAGCTCTCATATTGACTTTTTTTTCTGGCTGTGCATTTACTGTAGTTAATCCTCACTGCTTCAATCAATCCCCTATAGAAAGCTGGGGGATTAATAGAAACTAGGCAGCTATTTCCAGCCAACAACTGCAAACGAGCCAACTGTAAGCTACCTGCACAATTTTATAACAAAAGACAGCAGTAAACAAGCGGTCTCCAACCTGTGGCCTTTTGCTGTGTGTCATTCTCTCTCTCTCCCTCTCCTGTTATTCTTCCGCTATCACTATCAATTAAAGGCAACAAAAGCCCATATATATATTTTTTTTATATATATAAAATAAAAAATATGACTTGATAGTTCCAAAAGAAAAGTCAGGGGATAACCAAAGTTATTACAATTCATCCTTAGGGGGACACAAATGCCTTTACCATTACCTTTACCTTCCATGACAATCCATCCAATATTTTGCAAGGTATTGTAGTCTAGGACAAAAGATTGTTATTCCTAAAGCCATGCCACTGGGAGTTGCTAAAAAAGAGATTAGCTCATCCATCAATAGGCTTTTCTTTTCAGCTTTTCTTTTTATTTTAAACAGTACAACGAACGTTTAAAATCTACCCAGCCAACAACAGCAAAAATCACAAATTCTACCAAACTAAACAGTGTTTGAAAAATTCACATTCTATAAGTTTTGGGTGGTTTGAATTGAACGTTTACTCTGATAAAGACATACAGTATTATAGTAAATATTCTTGTTCAATAGGCTTTACCCTCCAGCTGCTCGTCTGGAACGAACAGCCAAAGAAACTGTCAGGATCAATGGAATCACAATCCCAAAGGACATGGTTGTTATGGTTCCAGTCTTCGCTCTGCACCGCGACCCCGAGCTGTGGCCGGAGCCAGAAGAGTTCAAACCTGAAAGGTAGCTGCCACACTGTATACGTGTGTAGTGTACTGTTTCCAAACCAACTTTTACAGTACAAATAATACTTTTTTAGTCATCCAAACAAGCTTTGCATGTTTTATAATCTACAAGACATTTGGGAGTAACTTCTAATAGAGACATTTTTTATATGTTAAAATGTTGAAATTCTGTTTTCTTTGTCACTGTATGGTCGTTTTTAAAGGTTTAGTAAGGAGAACAAGCAGAACATCAACCCATACACTTACCTGCCATTTGGGGTTGGGCCAAGGAACTGTATAGGGATGCGATTTGCTGTGGTAATGGTTAAACTGGCCTTGGTAGAAGTTTTGCAGAACTACAGCTTCTCAGTCTGTGAGGAGACGGAGGTGATTATATTTAAATTTCAGATGTCGACATGGCCAACATGCTTTTATGTAATCTGCATTAAGAAAGGATTTCTGATTCACTGAATTTGTACCCCAGATCCCTCTAAAGATGGATGCTCAAGGCCTTGTTGGACCCCTAAACCCAATCAAACTGAAGCTGGTGACGCGTTCAATCAAAGGCAACTAGTACTCAAAGAGAGGCGTCCCTCAAGGCTGGACTGAATTTTCAATTTTACTAACTGAAATTGCTATGTAAAGTCGACTACTACAGGTCTTCAGTCTGTATCATAAGTTTATCACTATGTCTGTTCTGATTCAGATCAGATGACTTTTTGATGACAGGTTGAGTTTTGGAGAACCTGACTCGAACTTACAGTACATGTGTATTATGTTCATGAATTATAGCAAATTTATGTCAAAAAGGCTGTGCCTACAATAATATGGTAAACAGGAGAATGGTTTGGAATAAAATATCAATTGAAAGAAAATCAAAACACTCATAAATAACCTTTCTGGTAATGATCTGAATATGTTATCTACTCAATTTGGTGACGATTAGATGAATCTGAAACACTCAAAATGGAGGAAAATTGCAGATTGCCAGAAGACACAAGGACAACATTCATGAATATTTCTTGTTATATCTAAATTGTTAAAATGATTGCATACTCACTAAACTGTGGTTAAAAAAAATAAATACTGCAAACTGGTGGTACTTCCAGAGGCAAAACAAGTAGATACTACTTTGTAAAGCCTATTATTTAAAGTTGTTTCACATGTAATCACTAGTCCACCTCTCAACTAATATCCACACAATTTTCCTGATTTGTATGTCTATGAAACTTAGGAGGAAATTGGGGCATTTGTAAGACCATCCCCACAGTCTTGTAGCTGTGAAATGACAGCGCTAATTACTGAGTCACTTGACACGGCAAGTTTATGACAAGAGGAACAAAACAGAAGGTAAAAACGCTAGTTAAAAAGTGTCAGACGTCTTATAAAAGCATGCCTATACGCTTAACAACCAGTCATCTAGGTCAGTGGCTCTTAACCTTTTTTGGTGCCAAGGACCCCTGAAATTGATACACATCAGGCTGGGGACCTGTTTTTGATAAGATGTAGTCCTAGAGAGCCTTGTGATAAGATTGACTTATTCCTGTCTATAGTGTGAATGGCAGATCTACTGTGAAGAGTGATACCTATAAACAGAAAAGTCATTGGGCTCAGCTGTACAGTGCGTTTTGAGGCTTTACTAATATGTGGAGGAACAAATAAAATAAAACATTGTACAAACTGCATTTATTACAGGACAGTTTGATTGGATTACAAAATAGACTTTTTCAGAATCCCGCTCAATCAGTGTTAAAAGCTTAAAGCCGTGATATAAAAGATGATACCGACTCTGCATGACAAAGCCCCTCGGGAGAAGTTGTCTGAAAGTCTTGGAGCTCTGATGACCGCAGCTCGGCCTGGACTTTGGAAGTAGAAACAGGGACCTTGGCTGAGTCCACATGTTGTGTCATTGGGGACTACAGGTCTCTGATTTGGCTTGAACTGAACTATTTTGAAACACGTAACCAGTAAAAAAAAAAAAAAAAAAAAGAGTTCAGATCTCCAGATATTTAGACGAGAAAATCTAGAAAAACGACTGATGCAGTTTTACTCGTCTAAATGTGAGGACTTGATAGCATGAGTGACATGCTGTGATATGGCAGGCACCGACATGTGGCTCACCAGTCACGAGTGTGTAGGCGTGTTAGGTGAGAAGGCACCTGGAGCTGCAACAAAGGGAGAGTTCACTGTTGGTTTGTGTAGTTGCATAACATTAATCTACCTTCATGACCCATGGCCACAATGAAGGACTGCAGGCGCTTAACTGTTTGTGTTCAACTGCAAATAATGTCCCAATGTTTTATACTTTTACCATATAAAACATATCAACATAGCTCTTACCTTAAAAACGTCTCTCTTCCTGGATTACGAACCATAACATGTTCACTGTGAGGTTTGTTAGATCAGTATGTGTTTATAATAAATTAAAATAAAATCCATGTATGTCAGTGAAACACATTCTCAGTGGGTCAACAGGAAACACTCCATATTTAAATCACACCATTGAGATAAGGATGAGGTTGTGCTGTGGCCACATTTGGCCACAACTGCTTCCATAAATGGACACACTATCAGCTTTGAGGCAGGGTAAAGGTATATTGATATCGTACTCTGTGGGAAAACAACTTCAGTCTTAAAACAGGTGCAGCTTGTCTTTGTGGCAGATCTGTTAAATGTTTTAGGGATACTTTCAGATGAGTTTGGGAGAGAGGAAGGGAAAAAGTAGTCAGCAGGTGTCAAAGATAAAAAGAGGCACGAAAATCTCTTTCCCAGTTCTTATCTTTTAGCTCCTTTCTCCTGCTTTCTTTCTTTCTCTGTCCTTTTCCTCCTCTCTCCTCTTTGTCCTTGGATGGAGGTTTCACTGCATCATCATCCCTAGCTTGGAAGTGAGTAACTTTGGCTCTCTTCATCTGCCCATACCCCAGGCCTTTCTGGTCTCTCTTCAGCACAGTTGACACTGGCTGTTGAGGCCCCTCTCCCTCCGGCCCCAGGCCCGACCCCGGTTTCCAGCCGCAGCGAACCATCATCTTGTAGCTGTTGCTGGAGGGGGGGAGGCAGTAGTACGGGGTCGGTGGAGGACGCCGCAAACTGAACTGATGTATAGTGGAGGAGAGATGTGACGACAGGCTGCAGCTGTACTCGTTACCACACACATCGCACCACTGAGGCTGGCACTGAGCGGCACTGGGGACAAACAGAAGATGAGATGAAATGAATGTGAGGAGAAATATTAAAGGAACTGGTTCACAACAGTAATAAGGTGCCCATACATACATTAACATTTAAAGATTCCCTTTCTAATGTGGATCCAGTGGAAGTGATGGGGTACCAAATCCACAGACCTAGTTAGATGAGTTATCATATACAGGGAGGATCTTCCAAGTGTCTTTAGTGTCTTTGTGCTTTCCTGGACAGTGTGTTTCCTGCTGCAGTCCAAGGAAAGAGGGAAATTTGTACAAAAAAGGTTTTAACTTTGGGTAGAAGATATTCAATTGATTAGTCTAAAGCAGGGGACTTAAACTTAAACTTTCTTGGGCCACTGCTGGTATTGTCATCTCATTAGAGGGCCATGTCAACGTTCCACTACTAAAAGAAAGCAAATGCAAACAGCAGTTTCTATACAGTTTTTATATTAACATCTTATACCATCTTTGTTGTTTGCAGCCAAACAACCGATGAACCCTGAAACCTGCTCTCTTCCTAACAACCCTAACAACACATTATCTGGGCACCTTTGCCAAACTCATTACATTTGTTAAATTATAATTGTGTTTTTATTCTAATTGTATATAAAGGGGTAGTTTGTAAATTGATTGATACAATTTGAAAACATGTTTTATTTTCATCAGATGTTTATGACTGTAAAAAATTAAATGTTGCTAATGTTGCTTTAAAAGGTGCTTAAATTCTCTGAAATGCTGACATTGCTTCTCCTCTGCCTACCTGCTCAACTAACAAAAGGATACATAAATAAGCAGTTTTATGATTAAATTACGAGTACATGATATTGTTATTGGTGCATAGCTAATGCAAGGCCTTTATTATTATAGTTGTATCAGTGATTCATAGTTTCAAATTGACAGTTTTGTGCAAAACAGTTTTATTCTTACATTTTTTGTGTTGCTTCCAATACTGTTTTTATTAGTGAAACTGTTTCCATAAAGGAGATGACTGTCATTATCTAAGGTACAGTGTATTTAAAACAAACTAATATGTGGTTCAATTAGGTTTAAACTGTATACAGAGTGTGCCAACCTGCTACCAGATGGTGTGTCTCTCTCTGGACTTCTCCCATAACTCTCCAACTCCTCCAATACCTCATTGTGACCACCTGGTGGGGGGGGGGAATACACATGGATAAGTTCAGCTTCACTGTTCGCACAAACACAAGTGAGTTGCTAATAAGAAATGCATGGTTATACCTTCCTGCGCCAGGTCTTTGGCATCCCTGCCCTGTGTATCAACCACACCGACCCAGGCGGCTCCATGTTGCAGCAGCAGCCTCACAGCAGCTCTCTGTCCTGACCAGCTTGCACACATCACTGCTGTCCAGAAGTAAGTATCCTGGAGGGGGAGACCATCAGGACTTAAAACAAATACAAACACAACATAAAATGAAAACAAAATAAGCTGTAAGTATTGTACCTGGAAGTTGATATCAACCCCCTTTGAGAGGAGGTCTTTAAGGCCAGAGATGTCCCCGTTGTGGGCACAGCGCAGCAATCTGAGCCCCAGGAGCTCCGTGGTCCTTTCTGAGTTGCTTGACTCTCTCCTTTGGTTGCCATCACTTTCACCACTAGTCCCACTTTGTACCACAGGATCGGTTTGACCCTGCTGCATCTCTGCAGCCCCGGCTCTCCTCCTCGCTCTTCTACTGGTCCTCTGTTTATTCTGGTGCTCTCTGCCATGATCTTCATCTTTCATTAAATGTTCGTAGAACTGCCGGGCCTCTCTTCCACTCAGTGCACTGCTTGTTGCAGAGCTGGGTTGTTCAGTTGTTTCAATGCTGAAAATATCTTGCCCACTGGCAGGAGTAAAGCCTAAACCAGCCATAAGGAGTGACTGTAGCTTCAGTTATTACCAGTTCGACCGGTTCACTGTTATTACAAAGTCAGTGTGAGTAATAGACTCATATTAGACTAATATATACTAATAATAAACCTATTTTAATCAAGAAAAGCTGTGATTCTCTTACTATGGCAGCATACTGTCAGGCTGAAAGTTGGTGCTGTTTCTCTTTTACTATTTGCTTCAAGTGAACTCTGTATTAAACCAGCATTGCTTTCTTATTTAACTTAGATATGTAGTAGGACGAGTGGTTTTCTGTCTGCTCGCCCACATTATATTCAACCACAAACAATCTACAGTGCGTCCATTTATCTGTCTCAAGAAGTCAAGTTAGTTAACGTTTAGCTTATCGAGCTTTAGCCTAGGTTAGCATTAGCTTCCGGGGACACTATTAATTTCAGATGACCTTTAATTAGGCATTTAATTCACCAACTTTACCCGAATCGCTTCAACTCATTAACCAGGCGACGACGGGAAAACTACGAGCCGAATGAATTTGTTTAATCACAAGAAGCTGCTTTCCTCTTTCTTCCTGTTAGTAAATATTGTAGGCTGCCCCCTGTCGGCCTGGATGTTACCACCAATATTAATATCATCTTTTCTCCTTTTTCTTTTACTAAATAATTCTTGATTTCAATTAGTAACTTTTTTTATTATCATTTATTCATTTTTTGCAGCACAGGCGTCCCACAGGGAAGTTTTGTCCCTTCTGCCATAACATTACTCAACAAAACTCCCCAGTGGCCGTTTTGTGTGAATAGCTGAATGTATGTACATATGTGCTGTGTTTAGATGTCTATCTTTTGTTAATGTTGTGTGTATATGTATGAGATTATGTGCAGACTGTGGCAGCAAATTGCCTGGAAAGGACAATAAAGAATCTGTCCTTTTCTTTCACCTGCACAAGTTCTCTGATGATACCGAGGTGATTGCTGACTTTGTCGACTGGTGTGAGTTAAACTACTGTCACCTAAATACCAGCAACACGAAGGAGATGGTGGTCGACTTGCCCCGGATTACAGATTTGGACTTTAAGATGGTGGGAACTTACAAATACCTGGTTGTTTACCTCAATACACCGGTCCAACAACACAGATGTCCTGTACAAGAAATGCCCAAAGTCGCCTTTTGTGTGTGCAGAACACTGTTGAAACACTGTGGTGGCATCTGCCATCCTCTATGTAGTAGTCTGCTGGGGAGCTGGAAGCACAGACAGGGACAGAAAAAGACTCAACAGACTGGTTAAAAGAGGGGTAGTTCTGTCCTGGACTCCCCTCTAGACTCCATAGAGGAGGTGGGAGAGACACCTTTCATCCCCTGCATGAGACTGTGGGGTCCCTGAGCAGCTCCTTCAGCAACAGACTGCTGCACCCACAGTGTAAGAAGGATCACCTACATACATATATGTGCATATATATACATATATTTATATATACATGTATATATGTACATATATATCATTTCTTACTGTACTGTTGTATATATTTTTGTCTTGTGCAGTTATTTTTTTTACACCATGCCACTACACCACTAGTAACTTATTATATCTTGTATTTTTCTATTTTAATTATATAAAGTTGTATCCTTAATTTAATGTTTTGTTTCTTGAATACTGTTAATTTGTATGTATGTAATGTATATTTTGCATAAATATGCTTCATAAAGGAAAGTCATGATTAATATGATTATAAACAATTTTCTATTATTTTGACTGTAGTAGTGAACTGTATATTGTTTTCCAATATACGTTTGTATTTTGTTTAAGAGTAGGAGTTTATTGTCCCAACAGCACCCTCATGTGGACAGCCTGATTTAAATTAGTCATACTACCTGCAGTCTTGCTCCTTTTTTATAAATTCATTATCATCTTTTCATGTTCACAAACAGAAAATAAAATATTATAAATGTAATCTTTTTGTTTTCCCCTTAATCTAAACTACAATAATTATATGCCCAGAAATTCAATAATCTCATGACAACACGATATTTAACTACATGCCAAAACTGTGAGATCAGTTATTTAACCTTGTTTAATACCGGTAACAATACTGACCTCCTAATGAAAATGTACGTTTATTGTATTAATTGGCATAACATTTAGGCAACCATACAACCTTAATACTGATGCCAATGAACCTTGTTTGATTGGATTTGATCCTGCTTCATCGTGAAACAGCCCCCTGAGCAAACAGTACACATCCATAAAAGACCATTTAGTGTGAAAGCACTCAACCACAGGGAAAGCTTTCAGTAACAGTGCTAAAACATTTAACAGATGGGGTTTATATGGAGACACATTCATTCAATTAATCCTATTCACGCCTGATTGATTCTCACTTGACTGAAGGTGAATAACATGATTCAGCTCACACGTTTACCTTTAACACACAGGTGTTAGTAGAGTGAATAATAGTTTAATTTTTATGGCACTTTTCTAAACAGTTACAAAATGCTTGGTTACAGAGAAGTCTAAACAAAAAGATTTCAAACAGTGAAACAAAGCAAACATAATATCATGACAACACATACTGTGGTGGGGAGGACAACAAGTACTGAAACACCTTTTAGTGTTACTTGAGTGACCATGATAATATCCGTTTCTTGACGAATCTACAAGGCAAACTGTGGAAATATCTCAAAGAACCATTAGCATGCCGGTCACTCGTGTGAGTTTGTTGGGAAAGATAGGGTTCAAGTGCTGTATGGGGAGGGTGCGTCAGGCACAGGGTGAGAGAAGTGAGCTACAAGGACTAAACCCTCATGCAGAGATTTTGTATTAGGTGGTAATGTAGTGACAGTCCAGGTAGGACGCAGAAAACAGCTGTGACAAACTGTCTGGATGGCAACAATTAAGGCTCAGACTGCACAGAGAAATCAGTGGTTTTGCATGTTTTATCCCATGATAGAGTAAATAAAAAGTACGCCAACGAAACGCAACGGAAAAAAAAATAAATCCAGATTACATGAAGTCGTGGAAGTGGATTTGGTAGTTTCCTGCAATGAGAAAGTTGCTGTTAGATATCAGACCATAAAAGTACAATCGATAATCCAAATGTTAGTTTAACGATTCTGTTGTTTGTCTACATGAATTTTTTGCAGGAAGCAGTGAATATTGAATAGTAAGTGGTTGAGAAACTGAACGATAATAATCCGTAACATTTATATCGTCAATTAGACAGCGACCAGAAAAACAGAAATCCCAGTTAAATCCAATAACACAGCCCTAATTACTCTGGTAGTGACTGAAATGTGTTTGTAGCACCAAGTAATGAAAATAGTCAAGTACCAAAAGCTTGCAGATTTTTTGTACTCCTTTAGGCTACGTTCTGACAGTCTGTAAATGTTTGGTGGGGATGTCACGATACCAGAAATGTTACATAGACCATTATAAATACATATATATTATACTAAATAACTAACGGACAAAGTAGGCTATTAAATAGCCTAACAAATCTGTATGTTTTTTTGATCTGTGGTCACGTCCTAGAGGGGGAGTTTGTCTCTTCCTTTAAGTGGGGGGCGTTTTTTCTTGCTTCAGTGCAGCCTTTATCTGAGTTACCTGAATGAACTGGATTCTCTTTATTTTCCTCGTCTGTACATCTTTCGCATAGTTTACATTAATAAATTACTCTTATTTGCTGGATTTTTTCCTGTGGGGCTTTTGTTGCACTTGCAGTGGTGTGGTGAGTGTGCACAGACACACACACACAGTGACAGAGACAGACGGAGCAAACAGTTGTTCTGTGGTATTTAAAGGCGAATATTTGTAGCCGTATATGCTGCGCCGCCTGGTCTGGGAGAATCACATCCTCGATACCTTTGGTACCTACGGTACCGTAGAAAAAGTGGTACCATCAAGTTTTCAAAATATTTGTATCGACTTGGTACCGAACTATCGGTTCTCATGACATCCCTAATTTTAGGAGGATTTTATTTTTGTTAAGTTCTTTCAGGACTGCCTGAATTTAGACATTAAACATTTGAGAAGTTTGACTCGCTAAGAAAAGGCCTTTTGTAGAAATACATGTTATCTTAAAGTAAGTTATTGGGGAGTATGTTCTGATTAATCCAGCCCTAGCATTAAATAGTCCTTGTAAAACCTGCGTAATATTTGCTGATACGTGTGTCCAAGAGGTGGTGACTGAACATTGGTTGATCAATTGAAGGCTTTAACGCAATCACATAACTTCATCATTTATGATAATTTAGTGTTCATGGGAGCCTAACTCTGCCCAAGTTAGCTTCAGCATATCTTGATTCATTATTGTTTATCAAATAATATGAGAAGAGAGTGAATGTGAATTGATTCTTAATGCTACCTACCCCTACAAACATGCAAAACTAACGGTGCGATCATTCAAAAGCAACAACCGAAGCTTCACTGGAGTTCTGTTACAACAGAATCTAACTAGTGGTATTTACTGATGTGTCTGTTTCTGTCCCCAGTCTGTGTAAATGTCTGTCCACAGTGGGGGCAGGAGTACGGCCGCTCCCCTGTGTGTATCCTCATGTGAACGTTCAGTTTGTCTTTGCTAATAAAGCGTTTGTTGCAGCAGGTGCATGCGTACGGTTTGTCCCCCGTGTGATATCGCTGGTGCATCTTCAGCTCCGTCATGCGACCGTAAGTTCTGCCGCACTCGGGGCACTCGTAGCTCGGCCGCACCTCCATGTGCTGTCTGCTGTGCAGCCGCAGCCCGCTGGACGACCTGAAGCTCTTGCTGCACTGCGAACACTGGAAGGGTTTCTCTCCGGTGTGGATGTGGATGTGCAACTTGAGGCTGGCGGCGGAGGGGAACCCGTTGCCGCAGATGGAGCAGAGGTGAGGTCTCTCCCCCGTGTGGATGCTCAGGTGCTTCTCCAGCTTGTTCTTGTTCAGGAATGTTCTGCCGCAAACGGGGCAGTTCAACGGTTGTTCTCCCTCATGTGAGCTCATGTGTTCGGTCAGCTCAATTAGCGTAGAGAAAGCGAAATCGCACCGAGTGCACGAGTACGGACGCTCCCTCTTGAATTTCCTGTGCTTGAGGCAGTGCTGCTCTAGATCTTCCTTCTCCTCAAAAGTCTCAATACAACAGGAGCACTGGTATGGTCTTTCTTCTGTATGAGTCCGCAGGTGATACTTCAAAGCTGTTAACTGGAGAAAGACGCTGTCACAGTGTGGACATCTGGATTCCCGCCTGTCGTGGACCATTATGTGCCTCTTGTAGTGAGACAGTTTGATGAAGCGTTTGCGGCACAACGAACAATAATACTGTTCGTCTTGGTGGCTTTGCTCGTGCTTCTTCAGCGCGTACTCGACCTTGAACTTCTTCCCACAGGTGCTGCAGGGGTATGACTTCTCATGAACTCTCATGTGCGTCTCCAGTTCTTCTGGACTACCGAAGGTTTCGTTACATTTCGGACAAGTCCCATTGTTTTCTTTCACGTGAATTTCCAAGTGTTTGTTGAGGTCTTCTGGGAAGGCGAAATTCTTCTGACAATCGGGGCACGTGTAACACTCGCCGTTCGAACTTTTACGATGGGTCACTATGTGCCTTTTCAAATGATACATTCGACCAAATACTTTGCCGCAATCGCCACAGATGAGGCTTCGAGGGCTGGACTGGACCTTCTTGTGTAATTTCAGATGACTCACAAGTGCAGCCTTCTCCTTGAACTGTTTATCACATGCAAGACACGTCAGGCCTTCAACGGCATGAGTCTTCTTGTGTGCCTTCAGTTCTAGCCAGCTACCTAAACTTTTCCCACATTTAGAGCAGATGTACTGGCCCAAGCTGTGCTGGTTCCTCAGGTGTCGGGTCATGTGGTAGGACTGGCTGAAAGTCATAGCGCAGACCGGGCAGCTGAACGGTTTCTCCTTTGTGTGCGTCCTCATGTGTCTGGCGAGTTTGTTTGGCCCTCTGAAGCGCCTGCCGACACAGATGGGACAGAAATGGCCTTTTGTTTTAGTCTTGGAGGCGACTTTTTCTTTCTGACTGCCTCCGTCCTGAGATTTAGCTCCATCAGTGTCCTTATCTTCAGTCTTAACACTAACTTCAGATTCTTTATCCTGAGAATCACTGTTGCAAGAGTCTGCATCATTCTCAGCAGCATTATCGTCGCAATCATCGCTCTCACGACTGTCCTTGTTACGTGACTCGATCATTTCTCGGTTTTCTGCTTCTTCGCTTTGCTGAGAATCCTGTCCCTCTGTCTGGGTCGACTGTTTATGTGACAAAATGTGAATAAAAAACGCACTATCATTAGCGAACTGTTCGTGGCAGTTGGGACACGACAGAACTTGAGACTTGTGCGTCTTCTTGTGACTTTGCAGCTCTGAAAAGCTCCCTAAACTTATCCCACACGTGGAGCAGACGTGAGGGCCCGCACCGTGCTGGTTCCTCAAGTGACGGGTCATGTGATAGGACTGGCTGAAGGTCACAGCACAGATGGGGCAGATGAACGGTTTCTCCTTTGTGTGCGTCCTCATATGTCGGGCGAGCTTGTTCGCATCTCTGAAGCGCTTGTCAACACAGATGGGACAGTAGGGGCCTTTTAGTTTAGACGGAGAAAGGACAAAGTCTTCATCTTCATCATCGTCACTTGCTTTGTCGCAGCCTTCCTCTTTTATCCTCTGTGATGATGACAAGGTCTCATTTTCATCATCATCTGTTTTATCGCTGGATTTATCACAAGGCCGATTAGTCTCATCAGAACTCTTGGACTTATCTTCATCCTGATCACCGTAATATAATTTATCATTAACGTAATAGTAATTATCTTTGTATCTAGATGATCTTGTTTGAGCTTTAGTTGTGCGTGGTTTCGTTTTGTTTTTCGCCCTTCTCTCACCACGCCGAGGACGCCCTCTTTTGGCCTTTCTTTGAACAGGTGGGTCTAAATCGTCTCCAATGTCCACACTGACTTCGTGAATACCAAAGAGTTCAGATTCGTTTAAAGCCGATTCAACCTCTTTACCGATAACCAAAGCCTTGTCCAAAGTCAGAGTTTCCCTCTCCAACAGCAGCCTCTCTTTGAGTTGTTGGCAGTTTGTTTTCTCAATCAGCTGATCCAGGATAAGTTTGTCTTGTAAGTCTCCACAGTTGCAAGGCTTCAGCAGTTCTTCTAACGCAGACACAAACTGCTCTACAGTCTCTCCGGGCATTTGACGCCTCTGATGAAATTTAAGGCGGTACATCTGCGACGTGTGATCAGAGCTGAAGTAAACGGTCAGCGCTGAGATGGCTGCCACATATGTGGTTTCACTCTGGATCAATGTTGTGAAGATACGTTGGCCCTCGGGGCCAAGGCAGTTTTGTAACAGCACACACTTACTGTAGTCGATAAGCTCGTTTTCACCAAGCGCTTCAACGTAGTGTTCGAAAGCTTTAAGCCACTTTTGCCAACACATGGTCGGTTCACCGGGGACAGGTAAGAAAGGTGGAGGTGGAGACAGGATTATCAGTAGTGGCTCTGGGAGTGGCTCCAAAAAGAAGTCATGTTTCGTCACCTCCTCATCTACTTCGACAGTCACTTCCCCCATTGTTAGTTATTGGTGTGTGTTTTTTTTCACTGGGGCCAATTTTATTTCTTCTTTGACTCAAGTAAGAGTCACTGGATTAGGATGAAACCCTCCTTGGTCCGTGGTCAGACTCCTGATGTTTCATCCCACTCAGGTCAGTCTCGGAAAACTGTGAAAGAAACAAACACGTTACTTTCAGAGTCAGTTCTTTTGTAGGTTATTTCTGCCCTCGATTTCTATCACCCTTTTTTGTTTTGTGTTCTCTTCTTTATTATGCTGAATAATATTTGTCCATACATACTTGTTAATGAACTAAAATACATATAACATGCATTGTAATTTTAGAATAATCCCGAAAAAACAAACAAAACTAAAATAAAAAACATGTGAAGTACTGCTTAAATAACACAAACTAAAGCCTCAAATGTAAATGCAGTGAGTTAAATCAACAGCTTAATAAACAGTATTATTCTTTTCTTATTTTAAAGTAAAACTGAAAATACAACCCTGTCAACTACGGAAAACTGCCTCATATCTCTCGCTGTTATCTTCTTACCTTTTTCATTTTCTTACGATTTAAGAAAGCGTGTTTGTTTGGTTCAGACTTGTCATGATTTAGATTGATAATTTTTCAGTGAAAACTAAAATTGTGATGCTAAGATGATCATAAGAATCGCAAATCATATCGCAACATCTGTCAAAATAATCGCAATATGTTTTTAACCAAATTGTGCAGCACTGACATT